GCTCTTTCCTTGTATCTTTCTTCGCTCTTTCCTTGTATCTTTCTTCGCTCTTTCCTTGTATCTTTCTTCGCTCTTTCCTTGTATCTTTCTTCGCTCTTTCCTTGTATTGCGTCTTCTGCTGCCGGTAAGGATCACCTGCTCTTGTGTATTGTACGGGGCGGAAAATTTGCTTCTTATGCAGCCGCGCGCGTCTTTTCGTTAATATACGATATAGTTAGAGAGAGAGTGAGAATATTTTCTATCGCGGCGTCGGTGTTTAATTCGAATACCTGTTTCTACCGTGTTCCCGCTCGCACGTTCTCTCACCTTTCATCCTCCTCGCACCTGTCCGATCTAACGATGCAGCTAGTCAACGCTGAACGACACGCACGGTGAGCGCACCTTGCCGTAGACGGCCGCCATCTTGTCACTCGTAGAGATCCCCTCGTGGAACTAACAACGTGGTACCCCATCTACGGGGCGGTCGTCGGTGCACGTGCACTACAGTGATTACCGCATATCAGTGTTCCACACGCGCACACATACGCACGCACGTACACACGCACACACGCACACGCACCACGCACACACACAACTCCCCCCCCACACACACATGCACACACGCACCCACACAACACACATACACGCGCTCGGTGGTGCGCCTGTACTCTTAGCAGTTAAACATCGCGATAAAATAATAATCGTGACGCAATAAGATTAGGTGGGGTTCGGAGCTGCGGATGCACTCGCTGTTGTTACGTGGATTAGAGTGAAATTTTTATTGAAGGTCTCTGTCCTTAGTGCACGTGTCTGGATGATATGCGTGGAATCTTGAGTAAGATATGTACACCATGCAAGACACGGTTGCGGACGGTCACGTGACGTAATGCTCCACATATCTCGCGTGTACGCATCTTTTAATTGCTAGGAATCACGACGAAAAGCAGCAGATAGATTGCGTAATCGACTGTCTTTGGTAATATGCGCACGCGGGTTTTTTTTTTATTGACATTAAAATGTTCGGTCGCACATTGAAGTGTGTTTTGTTTTGCATATCAGAACATCTGCACTCTCGTGATAGTGGGCGGTGTTGTTGTTGTTTGCTTTGGCTTCATACGTGCGCACTCATCGACGTCGTGAAGGTATAAATCCGACAGTTGATCGTCGAGATATTCACTGAATCACGATGACGCACTTCGGGTATGATTCGATGAGTTTTTTAACCTAATCACTCCGCCCACGAACTCTTTTAAAATGTTCCACGTAACATATACCCCAAAAACATGACTGTACACTCCCAAACAAAGCACTGCACCATCATTACCCCTTCCTCCATATAAAAGCGTCGCATTCATCGATTGTCATCAACATTTTCATGAATTTTTTTTCCATATACCTCATCTCGTCACGCGGTAATGACACTAGTGTTATAATTGCTTGCGGACGTCTACGTAAAATGTGCGTCGCTGTTTGAGGCGGTTGACTGCCGCGCCGGTGCGAACTTTGCTCCTGCACTCTGATCGTATACGTTGTCCGTATAAGCGTAGCTGTGCTCGTACCTACGTTACACCTCCAAGGTTATACGAACTCGTTCAGTGATGCAGCGGTGCAAAGGTCGCATGCACCTACTAGGCAAACCTGGCACGACCCGTAACAATTAATCAACCATGATGTCAGGCCATCACCGCTGGATTAACGTGTCACACACGCGACATTATATTCTACCGCATTGACTGATATATGACACGCATTGTAGATAGAACACGGACCGTTAATTCAGGTCATATCGGTCATTATGTACACTGAAGTTTAAACACGCACGCACGCAAGCGCATTTACGTATATTTGCGCTTTTGTAATCGAGGAGAAAAATGGAGTTTTATTACGAAAATTTGCGTGCGCTGAAAGTGTTAAAATATGGATTTTTTCAAAGTCATTTCCTTGTTTGTTGAGAATATTTATTGACCGATAGTACGAATTAAGCTTGCTGATTTTGGGGGAAAACTGTGAGGAACCTTATCTTAACCCGCCTTATAAATGCCGGGAAATATACATGGTTTTTAAAGAAGATATTTGATCATGTAATTTTTCTTGCTTTAAAAAAAATTTGAAATTTTATTATGATGAAAAACACGATTCTTTTAAAAAAAGCCACGGGTTTGTCGGGAATCTTCGAACATATCAATAAAATAGAAGAACTCAGTTATGTAACTATTTACAACATGCAGTCCTCCTACTGCTACTGTGCTAGTAAGTTCTCTCCTAGTATTTTTTTAGGACGGGGCGATCGTGATGAGCGTAGCTCTGGTGTGACTGGGCCCTGTCACACCAGAGCTACGCTCATCACGATCGCCCCGTCCTAAAAAAATTTGCCCGAGCGTGGTGAGCGTGGTTGAGAGCGTGGCCAATTCGAGTTCGAGTTCTTCTACGAGAAACATGGCATGGAGTAGTGTTGCCGTATCCATAGTGGACACTGAACTGGTGGGCTGGCCAGGGTAGCACCCCAAATTAAAACGTATGAAAACGTATTGACATCGTGCTGAGAACAGGGCGACAATTTTCACGCACCCGACACGCTTGCGATACGACCATTAAGTTCGTACTATGCTCGAGTTACGTGGGTACTACGCCTTCCACGTCTCTAATACGCCCGCACTGCGCTGTATTTCCGCCACGCGCGCACCACGATTATTTTGAACATGTTCAAAGTTTGGCCACGCTCCCCACGCTCATGCTGACTGCACCGCGCACGATCACGATCGCAGTACGTCCATATACGTCCACACTGCGTTCTACACGTTTTCACCACGCTCTTAGAGCGTAGTACGCGCGTAGTGAGATCGGGGCCCTGGTGTGACTGGGGTATAAGCTTCTCTTAATTAAGAATTAAGAGAATTAAATTCTTTGAGATTTTTGAAAGCTCATCCTGAGACCTGGAAATGGATTCCCTGTTCCTTGAAATTTTAAACATCTTTTGGAGGATCAGATATGACATGCTACGCAATGTGTTATGACTATGATATAACTGAATAGAAAAATGGAAAATTGTTTCAGTGTATATGCTAATGTTTATGTAAAAGCTAAAATAGAAGCGTTCTGTTCATCTCTGCCTTCGTGGCGCAATGGATAGCGCGTCGGACTTCTAATGGTGAAGATGATATTCGGAGGCTGCGGGTTCGAGTCCCGCCGGAGGTAGTAATATTTTGTGTTTTGTAACTAAAATCCTTAATATGTAGAAGTATTTTTTTATAGTTAAGCCTATTATAACGAATAAAAGTGAAAAATCTGAACACTGTAGAGTTCATTTGCGCTATAACATGGGCACACCAGAAGAACGCAGTCTAGAAATATTTTACTTACAATATTCGCTCGATCGAGGTCGCCACTTGTTCTCTTTCTAAACAGCCATTTTACGTTGCATTCAGATTTGTAAGTTCGTGGAACAAAATGTGTAAAGTATTTGTTACGCGTAGGTTAGGGTTACCTTTATGTAGATAGAAATGCAGCTAAACCTGCTCATAAATATATAATCGACGCTTGCTATTACTGGAAGGCGTAGTTATCTCGGTTAACATTTTCGAAATATGTTCGTCGTATTCACTTGACCGAATTGTGTACATCACTACAAGTACAAGTTACAACATGCTTTGCACGCGGATATAACTTATACTTATGCTTATAGTTATTTGTGAGCTGTTGCTCACAAATTACAACACATCATGAAATTGCCTATGGTTTCCTATCGGCGAATATCAACACAATGCGAAATAGTCAGTTCTGTAATTGCCTGGCTAGGCAGCTAACATTTTAGCTGTTTTGATTGCATCATGGTCTAGCTCTAGTAGTAGTACTAGTAGTAGTACTATAGCCCGCGTTCATTAACTGCCGCAGGGCTGTCGAACATCGACGTGGATATTCGTCCGAGCATCGGACACCTGTTCGTATGCGCTACTCGTCCGAGCAGTTGTTGCGCATGCGCTGTTCATGTAGCATGCCGCAGGCGCACGGCCTCTAGTGCCGGAGATAGGAAGTGTGAAGGGGGGTCTGGGGGGTCTCCCCCAGACAATTTTCATGGTTAGACACTAACCATTTTAGTTCATTAGCCCACAGGAATAGTAAAAGAAAAAATGTAGACTAGTCCTTCCAAGATTCTACTACTACTAGTACTAGGCCTGCCGAAGGACTCTTACTAGGCGCAAAGCGACGAGCATTGTGATTTGCCAGGAGGTAGGTGGGGTAGGAGGGTGGAGCCCCCCTTCTGCTAGGGGGTACAGGGGGTCTCTTCCAGGGTACAAGGGGTGTCCCCCAGAAAGGTTTTGTAAAAGGCATTCAATTGTATAAAATACATGTAACTTTGATATGGATCATAAGATTAAAATTTAAATTAAATAAAACTTTAATTCAAAAATAAAATTTCGGCCTTCCTTGATGAGGAATCTGTGGATCCGTCACTTATCACAGCAAGGAATTTGGCCTTATTTATAGCTACAAACTGTTTCCGGCGCCTTGTATCGGCTATCGCCGTAATGAACCTCTGGCAGGCCTTGTCGGTGAGGTAAGTGCTGCCGACATCTAACCCCTTGGCGTGCGTGCACAGGCACGTACACGTGTGTGCGTGTGCATGTACACGTGCGTGCGTGGGCACGTACACGTGTGTGCGTGCATGCATAGATACGTACACGTGTGTGTGCGTGCGTGCATAGACACGTACACGTGTGTGCGGGCGTGCGTGCGTGTGCACGTACATGTGCGTGTGCATGTACACGTGCGTGCGTGCTTATGCACGTACATGTACGTGCGTGCGTGTGTGCGTACGTTCGTGTGCACGTACACGTGCCTGCGTGCGTGTACATGTGCGTGGGCACGTGTGTGCGTGAGTGTGCACGTGCGTGCGTGAGTGTGCACGTGCGTGCGTGTGTGCGCGCGTGTGCACGTACATGTGTGTGCGTGCGTGTGCACATACCAGGGCTTGAAACTAACGCTCGCCCGCTCGCCCGAGGCTAGTAGAAATCAGTAAGGGCTAGTAGAATGTCTGGTCTGACCAGCCCTGTTGGCGAGTGGAAATGCCTACCAGATAACATATTACTAGTACTTTTTCAGCAATTACTAACCCGACCGAACTACTATACTAGTAATAAGTAATATAAAATTTGCATGTGCAAACATAATAAAATTGCAAAACCTAAACTTAAAACAGTCACAGTACCTCAGACAATAAAATCGGTCCAACCACCATGCTGCTATGTTCGCAAGCTCATGCCAATCCCCTCACAGTGTATATACGCAATACGTTTATGTTCTACTTTCTGTTTACGTTCGTGGAACGGTTAGTTAACTTAGTTTACGTTTCAGCTGACCTCAGGGTTAAACACTACAATCCCTCCCCTTTTCAAACGAACATTATTTCAATTTGACGGTTGCTAAATATCAAATTAGAAACTCAAATTTACTTATACGGAGTTGGAATCACCCTGGTTAATATACAATCCGTACTTGTACTAACTACTAACAAACTCTGTACTTGTAGTAGAGAATTACTAGAGTAGTAGAGATAGTCACAAACGGTTCAAATTAAACATGAACTTTCATATTTCCGTAGACTGACTAATAGTTCTAATCGTTACTATAAGGAATTATTCTGCTCAAGATTATAACAATAGTACTGATGTATTTGTATATATATGTATATATATCAAAAGCTAATATACACCTAGAGTGTACAACGGGAAAACTGGGAAATAGTGCTATTTCACGGCAATATTATTGAGGCCTGTGGGAGGCATGATTACGCTCCAATATCTCGGCCTAGGAGTATCGTAGAGACCAGCGGTTGGTACCATGAACTTAGTCTAGAACCGCATACAATGTAGAATAATATTGCCGTGAAATAGCACTATTTTCCCGTTGTACACTCT